GACAGTAAAGAAATTCTTCCTTATGTCCAGCCTGAAACGGTCTCGCAGTAATTTATGACTGTTCAACCTCGTCATCCCTTAGGGCGCTCTGGTGAACAAACGTTCCCCCAGATACTGGTGGTCACCCCTGATAAACTTATAGGTGGCCATCAGATCACCCCTGAGCCTGCGCTTTTCCAGGCTAAAGAGCCCCATGGCTCTCAGCCTGTTGTCATAAGGTCTGTTTTCCTGACCTCTGATCATGCGCATGGCTCTTCTCTGGACTCTCTCAAGCTTCTCCACATCCTTTTTGAATTGTGGAGCCCAAAACTGGACACAGTACTCCAGCTGTGGCCTCACCATGCACAAGGGTGGAGGGTTCCCATTCGATTTGGAGGGATTAAAGGGTCCTCTGATTTGATTTGGATTCAGAAATTTGGCCACCGAATTGGGCTGACTGTCTGCTGAATTGAATCAGGGACTGAAGCTTCGCACAGCTATAACCTCTACCACCCCTATAGTCTCAATTCCTAAACCACTGGTGCTTCCCCAGCCCTAAGGCTGTCTTTCCCCAAGCAGCTTAGATACTTTATTGGAGATTCCCCCTGTAACCTGCTCAGGAACTCTTCCTTCCATGGCTTCCAGGGCTAGATTGCCTGTCCAGCTCAAGCCCTGGTTTTATATCCTGCAAGCCAACCTCTTTTGGGGTCATGTGGCTCCCCTGATTGCCCTCTGCTTTACCTGCTGTTTCATGTGACCCTGTATGGGTAATCAAGGAACAGCTCCCTACTTAATATAAACAGTGTCTTTATTATATCAGTTTCTTGTAGAGCTGTTACATGGCCTACTGTTTTTCCCCCAGCCTTTCTAACTCTCTTGTTTTTCCTGTCTCCTCCCCCTTGCTTACTGTTCCTCCTTCTCAGCTGTTGCTGGTTTTGCCTCTGAGATCCATACAGCCTGGTTTTCCTGCAGCCTGCCTTCCTTTAAAATAGTAGGAGCACCAAGCTCCCTGCTATAGAGCCCTTGCCCCAAAGACTATGCAATGCACTCAGATTAAGTTTAGAAAAACAAGCCTATGCATAAGTTATCCAAATAGTACTCATTAAATTTACAGCACGGTCAGTGCTGTGGTATTAGTGGTTTTAAAATAGACTAACTGCTCTCATTTTCAGGGTTTCTAATAGCACTCTCTTAACAGCTGCTTCACCTTCATCATTTTTGTGCATTTATCCAGAGTACAATTATGTTATAAAGTAGATACTGGGGCTGAAAGATGCTGTGTACTGTGGTTTCTGCATTTAGGTGGCATGCAGATAACTGATGTTCATTTTAATGGAAGCAATGGGCAACAAATTGTAACACAATGCTGGTCCCAAAGTTAAGCAAATTATGCCCTTCTTCAGCATGCATGTCAGTGAATGTACAAAAAGATGCCTGTTAAAATTTGTTACCATCACCAGATTTCTTTATGATGACATGACAGCAGCTGTCCTAAGCAATGGCTCAGAAACAGAGTCGTCTATTATTAGAACTGGAGTCAAGCAAGGATTTGTAATTGCATCAACATTTTTTTTCGTCTTTATTGCAGCTATTCTGTATATCATTGCTGATAAGCTTCTATCTGGAGTCAGCATCCAGTACTGACAGACAGGGATCTCTTTAATATTAACTGGTTATGTTCCCAATCCAAAATAACCAACACTTCCATTACTGATCTTCAATATACTGGTCATTGTGTTGTGTATGCCCACTCAAATGAAGAGCTCCAGGTCACTCCTGATTGGTTCAAGAAAACCAAAATACCTTACCAACCCCAACCCAAGAAGCTGCTTACAATTAAGGAGAATCTTTGGAGAATATTGAGCATTTCCCATACCTGGGTAGCTGCCTCTTCCAAAAAGTAAATATAGATGATGATATTTAACATCAGATAAAATCTACCAGTACCACCTTTGGACATCTCCAAAATCATGTTAAATGATTATGACATCAGGACCCATACCAAACTTCTTGTTTACAATGCTGCCATTGTTCCTATGCTGTTGTATGGGTACAAAACCCAGACAACATATGAGAAACACCTGAAAGGTTTGAAAGTTACCATCAGTGATGTTTTCAGAAAATCCTCTATTTCAGTTGGAAGAACAGATGCTAGTATTCTGTTTCAAGTAAACTCTACCAGCATTGAAGCTATATTTATATGACCGCCAACTCCATGGACAAGACATGTTACATGGGCGCCTGACAACTGGCTCCTAAAACCGGTCCTATACTCCCAAATGACTGATGCTCACCACTGTAGATGTGAGCAAAAGATATTCAAGGACACTGTGAAGGCCAATCTGAAAAAAATGTGACATTACTATCAATAGTTGGGAGATGTGAGCACTAAATCACCCCCAATTGTACCATGATGTACAGGAAGGTATCAATCACTTCAAGAAAACTCATCTCATCTTTATCATGCATTATCTAAATACGAAGTACATAAACTGTCATTCTAAATGAAAAAGTGTAGAATAAGGTCAGAATATCCTTAGTGTCAGGGCATGGAATTAATATCAGCATGTTCCCCATGTGAACAAACTATCAGGGTCAAAATAAATCTTTTCAGGATTAGACAGTTAAAAAAAAATGATGACTGGAAGCAGAGGGTTCCATCTCCACATCTGTTTGCCCTCAGCTAACTTTGTTTTGGCCCGTGTCAGCAGGGACATCAATGTTTAATGTCTGTTCAGCCACCTGAGTTCTTGATCCAGATCTTCCACTGATATCAAGAAGCACCAGTGGGTGCTCCACACTGTCTATAAATCAGACCTCACCTAGGTGCTTAGAAACAAAACTACCACCTGTGTTTAAACACACATTTTAATACAACATTGGCCTGTTTGTGCCTTCAGAGCATGTCTAGACAGACATTTGCTACCTAAAACACTGAATGAAATTAGTTGTTATGGTTTTATCTGAGAAAAAAAACTCATCATCATTCACTGTCCCAGTCGATAGTGGAAGACACAAGGGTTCTAATTTTATAATGAAAATAATGGCATAAATGCAGAAACGTACCCATATACTTTCTATGTGATAAACAATACATTTTTATTTTGGGGCAGCTCCCTAACTGGTTAAAAACAGAAATCAGACTGACTCGATGGGAAAATATTGTTGTAGCCATGACAGTCCAGGAAATATACAAGAAGCGGGGGGGATTGTTGATATCTTTTATTTGGAGCAGTTGGGAGAGATGTTAAACAAACGTTCAGGCACAAAGAACCTGTCTTCAGATGACAAGAGAGGAAATTCTGCATGTTTGTTGATGTACCTTTGCCCTACAGGGCCAAAACCTCCTGTTTTTCTCCTATCTGTCCTTAGTATGGAGTCCTACCATTATATAATTTAGAGTTAGCAATATAAAATATGAACTATTTTAATAGTTTCTTCTTTATTTTGTGGAATTCACTTGTTTTAACTATGAAACAAAAACATTAGAAAATACTAGCAAGTTACTAAGCAGTCTGGAGGTGTTGTTAGTGTTGTGATTACCAGTATCAACAGTATCAGGTACCAAAATCAAGATAATGGACATGGCTCATGGCTTTGTTACGCCAGTTTTAAACTGGCAGAGCTCTACTGAAGCCAGCAGAGCTACACTGTCCAAAAATAAAGCAAGGGGCCATGGGTCTGCTGACATGAAGTCCTGACTTTGAATAAGGACTAATTTCATAGACCTTTTCCACTTGTGAGGCATTGTCAGCAGAAGATCTTGGACTGCTCCAGAGCTATCCCGTGCTGAAGTAAAACTGTCCAGGTTTCGATATTTTTCTGAAGTCCTTCATTCACTGGCACTTTTTGACTGGATAATCTTGTCAGCTTCCACAGAACTGACACTCTCTCTTCATACCCAACAGGAATTTAAACATCACTGGACAGAACTCAGAGGAACCACACTTTTCTTCTATAATGATAAGAAAACCACAATGGTGAGTAGCACTATGGGCTAATGTGAAGATATTTGAGCAATTTTGTTAGTACTTATCATCAAGCAAGAAAGCACGCATGTGACAACTGCATCTCTCAGTCCCATCCTCCCACACTTTGGAAACCCAGAGAGCAGGAAGCAAGCCCAGAAACCAAAATGCCTGGTGAAGTCATGGGAAGTAAAATAATGATACAGAAAGTTCTTCCTCACCACAGTCATTCAGGCTACACTGAGCATTTGCTCTAGGGATGAGATCTATCTGGAGCTGCAGCACAGGTAGGTGGAGTATCTTCTTCAAGGTCACCCACGAAGCCCAGAAGCAAGAATAGAACCCAGATCTCCTAAGCCCATCTAGTAGTCAATCCACTAGGACCCACTGGGCATTTTTAACGGACATTAAAGATCATCTTGTTCACAGCACTTAAAAGCAGAGGGGTTATCCAGATATCCTTGGCTGAACATTCCCTCCTTCATTGTACAGTTGAGAAGCAGCTGTTAATCTAGACATGGTTTTCAAAATAGTGGGGGAAAATGCTGGTTGAAAGATGCTATTATTATGATACATACAACATGTATATCCTCCTTATCTTCTGTACAGGCTCTTTGACAGAAAAGCAAGAAATTCTACTCCAGTGCCAAGTTTATGCCTTCCTAACACAAAATATCTGCAGATCAAAAATGAGTACCAGTAAACAAGAATTATTTCATACCCTGAACAAACACAGCTTATCTTGCTTGAACTATATTTGAAACCAAGCTCACAATCACAGTTGAAGGCCCCACCACAGTTTTTCAGAGCAGTGTGCATAGGGATGTATTTTTTTCCTTAAAACCATTTTCTAAAGGGCCTGATTATTCTCTCCCATGTGACTAGAATATATTGTTGTGGCTCCTTGACTTCACTAAAGTAATGCTTGATTTATGCTCATTTCAGTGAAAGATGTAAAAGGCTTATTGCTCTAGGTAATCCTAAGAGCATAGTTTACAACAACATCACAACTTAGCTCTTAAATCAAAAATTTCAAGCTGCAGTGGTTAGCAAAACTACTGCAGTCTTGCCAGCAACAACTTTGTTCAATGAACATGACAGTAAAGACTGTGTTTTACAACCACCAAGAGTCTGTATTAAGCCAGCAGTTCCCAGATAAATACTTGGAAGAATCAAAACCCTCCAGCTGTACATTTCTGCAACATCTCCCACATGTTTCACTGTACAAGATGTGTAAAAAGAGGGACTATGATAGTGATAATTTTCACCCTTTATAGTTTTCCCCTGCAAGCCCATGCATGAATCATCACAGACATCTTCTTAGGACTCAAAAGCCAACCATAATAAGTAAACTTTGTATTTAAATTCCAGAGGGCATATTTAAGTAATCTGTTTTGCATATAGAGGTTGTAACTGAAGTTGCTTAGGTCTCTATACAGGAAGTATCACCTTAATCCCATATTTCCTGGCTGTCTAATATTTACTTTGTCGTTTCAATTGTGACTTTAATATTCTTGTAAGTATGTAGAGGGAACCTGGGGACAGGCAAGGTGAGGGGAGAATATTATCTCTGCACTGTGGCTAATATACTGGTAATGTAATGGTCTCCAGGCAGCTAGATGTCTTTCTGGAAAACTCTCCCATCAGCAATAGCACCTGAGAGGAAGGGGGGATCTGGTAAGGGGACCTCAGGCTAAAGTTCTTGGACCCTGTCCTGAAAGTAATAATTCCTAGACAACACTGAAAACACTTATTAAACACTTTGTATTAGGCAATCTCAAACACACTTACAATATGCATTTATTTGCAAGACCAGACCATACATTATAACCTGAGCTCTCTTTTGCATCAGCTGTTCCTCAGGTTTCTCCATTGTAGCACCTCTCCACCTGTCCTTTTCCCTTCCTCCTTCCTCACAACGCCTTTCAGGTTTTGACTGTCCTACAGCTAGTGGGACCTACCTGATCTGGCTGCCAGGGTGAGTCAGTAAAATAGCACAGCCAAATGCACCAGCTCTAAATTCTAGTATTGGGTCAGCAACCAGCTTGATTTTTTTCTTGAGCATAATGACCTTTGAGTGATAGGTATGCAGTGGATTTATCTGCTACACTCTGGGTGCATCTTCACATACAATTAAAGACGTGAACTTTCTGTGCAGAAAATTCTGGCTCATTAAAGCATTCCCAGACATGCATCTGAACGCATGCCCATCAGAAGCAGTTCAGTCAGAGCTACTCACGCCCTGCTCTGCCCCCTGCAGCAGCCAGGGGAAGCTCCAGGCTCCCCCAGGTGCCAACCCTTGGCTGGCAGGGGCCACAGGGTTTGGTCCCAATCTTCATGGGACTGGGGGAGCTGTCCTGGCTCTGGTGGAAGCCAGCCCCAATCTCCACATGGCTGGGAGGCAGTTTGCTTGAGCCAGGACAGCTTTCCCCACCTCTCAGAGATCAGGACAGGTCTCAATCCCCAAATTGCTTCCAGTCAATGTCTACACTTGCACTCCTGCACATTAGTTAATGCACTGTTTTTCTAGTATCTATATGTATTGGTACTAGCAAATGACATCTTAGACTAATTTAATGTGCTGTAATTGACGCACATGTATAGACTGTGACAATTTACGTAGGAAATTTCCAGTGATGTAAACTAAAGCAAACAGAATAAACAGTGGGAAGGTGCAGTTTGCATACAATGCTTCCTAAAGATGAAAGAAGCTCTCTCTAAGAAATGAGACTGTTTTGTCCCTATGTTTTTCCTTTCTGTGTCAAGTCACTTCTTTGGGGAACAGCTGGTGTTACAGTTTTGTTTTGTTTTTTACAGTGGATGTCATAATTATGTGTTATTTCTTTTTCCCCCCCTTAGTATTTTGAAAAACTAGATCTAATGAATTTGACTTCAGTAACTAACATTAGTCCAGAAAACAGATGTTATGCCCAATTCATCTTGACGCTGTCAAATGAGGAAATAGAGATGAAGGTGAGTCAACAGAGTCAAATTGTAAAGTTGTTATGTGTGCACCTTTTCAGTGTTTGACAGACTGCTCCAATCACCCCACCATCACCCAGCCACTGCTCTCTGCTAATATTTTCCAAAGTAAGTGCTATCCACTGCCCTTTGGGGACCAAGAGGGGAATTTTGGAAGCATTCTAATTTGTGCGAAGGAACTCAGGCCTGCAGAACGGAACCTAAACTGTATTCCAGTAAGAGTGGAAGCTTCCATCTGGCTACATTTTACACGGTGTGTCTCATTTTCTTGCATGGAAAGGCAATTGAAAAACATGCCAGAAGCGAAGATTTTTGTTTTTTCTTGGATATAACAAAAGTGCATAAAATGAAAGGTAAACAAGATGCTGAACTGGATCACGATCTCACACTTTAACATCTCTACTGACACCCGCAAAGATGTAGCATATTAAAAACTTCTTCAGTAGGAGAATAAGGTCAATTATTATTAATCAAAGAAAAATCAGTAAGGATAGGTACAATGCACTTAGAATGGAACAATTATATGCACAAAAATGAAAGGCTAAGCTGCAGTACTGCAGAAAATGACCTGGGGTTTCTAGTGGACCATAAGGATGCTCTTGGGACAAAAAAAAAGCCAATAGCATCTTGGGCTGTATTAACAGGAGCTTCACTTGCAATTTGAGAAGTGATTCACCTGTTCTATTTGGCAATGGTGACATTTCACCTGGAGTATTTTGTCCCATTTAGGGCACCACAATTCAAGAAAGATATGAACCAATTAGAAAAAGTTCGGCAGAAGGTAAAAAAAATTATTAGAAATCTAGAAAATATGACTTACAGGAAAAGGGTTGAAGAACTATGATTATTTCATCTGGAGAAGAGAAGGTGGAAGAGGGATTTGATAACAGTCTTCAAATACCTGAAGAGTGGCTATGAGGAGGACAACAGACTAGTCCCAGATTACTTGGGGCATGTCATGGAATCTCCTTCCTTGGAAGTTTTCAAGACTTTAGCCTGAGCTTCAAACACTTGGATGAGATGGCCTGGGCAGGGATGATCCTGCCTTGAGCATCTTTCACTGAGAGAAATGTCATAGGAGAAGTGTAAGGTGGTACTATTCTCTCCAGTACTGAGGCTGTTGCTTCACTTCATAATATTTATTTTCATTGCTCCACTGCTTTACTACAATGAGTAAAGTCTGTTTCTACATACCAAGCATTGATATATCTCCATTCTTCATTCAGGACCTATTTTTAGGAAGTGTCTTGACTGGTCCCCAAAGCACTGCTGTAGCTTTATTTCAGCAGACAAATGAGAACATGGAATCATAGAATAGAAAGACCGGAAGGGACCTGTAAGATCATCAAGTCTGGTCCCTTGCCATGAGCAGGAGGTGATTGGGTTCAAAAAAGCTCAATGAAGTGCCTGTCCAGCCTCCTCTTGAACACCTCCAGGATGGTGGCTGCACCACTTCTGCTGGGAGTGTGTTCCGGGTTCTAGATACCCTTACAGAAAAAAAGTTTTTCCTTATGTCCAGCCTAAATTTTCCTCCAACTAGCTTGTGTCCACAGGACCTCGTTCTCCCAAGGGGTGCCTCTCTGAGGAATTTCTCCCCTAGATCTTGGTGTTCCCCCCTGATATATTTGTAGGTCACCCTTCAGTCTTCTCTTACTCAGGCTGAACAAATATGAAGGATTCCTAGTCATGGAGAGCAGGGCTTACAGGCCTCCCTTCTGACTCCCAGGCATATGGAGGAAGGGGGTGCAGGGGCTCTTTTCACACATGGGCTTCCACTTTATCCCTTACTGCATCCCTGGCCAGTGACAACAGGTCAGTGGGCTCTTCTTCCTCATGCTACCCTTCCTTCCCCTCACTTACTAGCATTCCAGTAGCATCTAGAGGCCTCTCCTGAGAGCAGGCCCTGTTGTAATCAGCACAGTATACACATGCATATGGAGAGGCAGTCCCTGTCCTGCACTGCACAAATGGAGAACGGTGGTAGGTGAAACAGAGGGAGAGCGGGGAAGTAACTTGCCCTACAATCACACAGCAAGTGGGTGACACAGAACCACCTTGGGAACCTCACTCTGCTCCCCATCCACTGCTCACATTCCTGTCCTCTCTCTCTCCCACACACTTAAAGTGAAGAAGATCAGAAGGACAGGCATACAAGAGAAGGGAAGTGGCAGTTAACTGGTGAGAGTGAGTGGCATGGCAGGTGGGTAGTGGTACACCCAGGCTGACTAGCTCTGCTGAGAAACTCACGCAGCTATTCTGCTTCCAGATCTAGTGCATGCCACATTGGCTCAGAGTGCCTGCACAGCACTGCATTGCCCATATACCACCTAGCATGTTCACAGGTAATACAGAGTATCGCTACACAAATGTGTGCCATGTAGACACCCCCTTCCATTTCCCCCATCCCCACCATCCCAGAAGGGCTTAAATTTTGTCATGGGCCTTTGGTTATTTTGTAAAAGGTAGAAAAATGGGAGGGGGCATCAGGGGGACTAACCAGGACTGAAGCCAAACAAAATGTCTACATCAACTCCCTTGACATGACCCTGCAGCTCTAGATGTATCATTGCTTATCCAGGCTCAGAACAGCTGCAAGGTGCAGCAATGAATGCAGTGCTCTCTCCATGCCCAGAATCCTGGGCTTGAAAAAGGTGGCAACAAATCAGGTTTTGTGGGTGTTTGCTTTTAAAATAGGAATAAGCAATAAGGAGAGGGCAGTGGGTGCCTTGTGGTGGGCTGGGTTGGGGAAGAAGGGAGATGGAAAACAGGGTCTAGATTGCTTTTGCTCTTCCTCTGAAGGGTACAGGAGAGCAGTACATACAACATTCCTTCCATGTCTGTAACCAAACCTACACTCATCTTTCTCTTGCACTTATGGTTTGCCAGTCAAGGAGTTGGATGTGCAGAACTCAGACTCTCTGTGTCCAGGATTTTTGTAAGCACGGAGAATGCTTTTGTAGCCCAGGGGAAGAGTTGGTCACTGGGCTGCATTAATTCTTCCTTTATGAAAGGTGGTTTAGAATCTGCCTGATGTTTAAAGAAAAACACAAGAATGAAGCACTACCCATCTCTTTTTCCTTTGGGTCCAAATACACATTCTCCCAGGGAAAACAGGTTGTAGTTTCACTTCATAATAATTAAAAGGAGCACAGCTAAAGCAAAGTCTTCATTGTATTTGTAACCATGTGGACAACCAGGCTGTCCTGTCCTACAGGGACCTGTTGGACAGCAGCGTCAATGTTGGCTTTACTGTTCCCAGGGCACAGACCTGCTGCAGTACGCATAACGTGGCATGAATTGCCTCTTCTTCTGGTGCATCTCCCAGGATGTGGGGCAGGTGAAGCCATGTGCCTCACTGGTATGCAGCAGGGAAGGGGCATCAGTGGTTTCTGCTTTTCCTGTAGGCTCCTTCTTCACATTATTTGAGTGATTGCATGCAGTTTCTTTCATCTTCATTCCAAAAGAAAGTAGACACTATGGCATCCTGTATCTTGTACTTGAGTTCAGAAGTGAGTTCAGGGAAGGATGTCAGAGAGGGCAGATTGTGGACATTCAGTGCAGAAAGGCAGTATATAAGAGTGTCTGCAGTACAGAAGCCTGCAATGGATGGGTTTTACTTGGTGTCATTTGAAAAGTTTTGTTTAGGCCTACTGGCAAGTACACACTTCATAAGGAATTGATGGAGAAGGACCTGGGAGAAATTGGAAGTAAGTTTTGATCTGCTTTCACTTCTACATTGTCACTTTTTTTTTCCCCTTCTCAGGTAGAAGACTATGAAAATGGGGAGGAGTGGAAAGGCTTTATTCTCACAGCCACAAAGGTAGGGCAGTTGGTTGTTTCTGCTTCTCAGTTGTCTCTGGCACCATTACAGCATGCCTGTTGCCCTCTTTGTGTCAATAACAGTTCAAGAGCATCTGATAGTTCCTTTGTTCTAAGCTTATTCAGCTATTCACCAACTGCATGCCAAAAAAGTTATTTATCCATACAAGATTTTCTTTGAGTGCACTGTATCAGACTTTTCTGAGTGACTGACAAAGCCCTGCCCTCAAGATTTCTGTCTATGCTAAACACAGTTCAAACTGAGCCAGCATAGATTGTTGTAACAAACATGGAGTCTATCTTAGTGGGGAAGAATGCAACCTACATAAGCAATGAAGGCCTCTGCCTATCTGCCTGACGCATCTCTACACCTTTGCATTAAGTTAGAGAGTGAGCTTACGTTCCTATCTTGGTCCACTGTCTGAAGGAAACCTGGCTGCCTTAGAAACCTACCCCAAACTGCTGAAGAAATCTGCTTTTTTAATGTCAGGTTTGCACCAGTTTGTGTGTTCACAATTGGCTTATAGCAGAATGTAGTTAAGTGACCAAGCTAGTGAATTAAGGTATGTTGATGTAAGACGGTTGTAAACGTAAGCCAATACAAATGCCTGTGTGGATATATGTAAGAAAACTGATTTAAAAGTTGATTTTAGATAGAAGGGTGTAAAGTTGTGGGTATAGTAGCCATTAAAAGTGCAAGAAGCAAAGCTGTCTTTGTACTATTTTTATAGGCTCAACTGTACAGCTGGGAAAGAAGCAGGAACAGCCTAAACCAAACACAAGCCATTATCTTATCTAGTGTTTAGCTTAGGCAGTACCTGCTTCTTTCCCAGACCGAATAAGAGGTGAACTTTCATACTTCACAGGTCCCAGTGAAGTCAGTCTATGAATGGAACCCCAAGGGTTCAGCACTCTCAGGATGTCAGGGCACAAACATTTATATTTGCTTACCAAAAATCACTTGGATTAACCCTCCCCACTCCTTCCCCACCACAAAGCCAGGACTGGACCCTAGACATTTCAGATGGCCAGCTAGAGCTCGCCTGCTAAATCCAGCAAATGAAAAAAAGACTTCTGTAAAGCAGTGGTATTTCTTTAGAGGGTGTTGTTGGTGCTCGCACGTTTATTCCACTCACACCATTTCTTCTACAACCTTATTTTGTGTCAAATCATAGCTGTCAGTCCCAGTGTGCGCGTCATTGCTACCTGGCCAACAAACTAGGATGAATGAAGTACTGGAGAAAGAAAAGAAAAGAAGGGCAACAAGTGAACAGTTATCTAGTGCATCTCTAAGCAACGAGAAACCACATAATGGAAACTATACTAACATGATGAACTCTATACCTGAGTAAGTCCAGACTAACCTATAATAATCTGAATCTCAGAGTTCCCCCACCCCTTTTTTCAAAAAAAGAGCACTATAATTTTCCTATAAAAATAGTTGTCAGCAAAAAATAATCACATAATCATTGTATATTCGGTGGCCCAAATTTCACTTTAACATGACCATTATGGGACTTCATGTATTATTTGTTCCTCCAAGGACTGTTGTATTATCCATGTCTCCTTTGGTTGGTAGAGCCAATATTAGAAAATACAAATTTCACACTCTTGTGATTTCAGGAACTAATTTGTCCTCTTCCAAAGAGCAACTATTGATAAGATGTGGGTATTGTGTTGGAGAGGATCTTTCATGGCCATGGGCAAATGTCTGAAACCAGATTTTGCATGAGGTTAATTAGGTCTGAGATTTAGTCCACTAAAGATAGGAGCATTTGCAAAGTCCTGCTCTGGAATCAGGCTTGGGTTCCAGTCACCGGAGTTTGAATATTGGGCTTCAATTTTGGTCTCTCTCCCCCTTCCTTTCCCCCCCAAATCAGTAATTACTTGGGCCCTGCCATACAGAGTTCTGGTATTGCAGCCTGTACTTACCTTATGATGGGTACGGCAATAGTCTGATTCCTCTCCTGTACCAAGAGATTTTTGCAATTACTGTTTCAGTGTATTTTTTTGGAAAAAGCATAAATTCACCCTAAGCTGCTTTTCTGGGAAAGTCCTTCACTCCCTCCACCCTGCAAGCCACACATTTGTTCATCATCCATCTTGCCAAATTATAATACATTCACTGGCAATGGATGCTCTAATACTCCAAGTTGTCTCAGTTTACTGTTTTTCCCACTTTGAATACGTGACTATTTTCCACATGGGAATAGGATGGGCTTATTCATTATCCAGCCACCTATCTGAATTGTGCCTGAGCACTGTTTACTTTGTCACTGTCTAGAAGGAACAAAGCATTGGTACTGCAAGTTATGCAGTCACACTACTGCTCCGTAAAAAATGCTGCTTTCAAATGCAACATGTTCTGTGGTGACAAAGGAAAACAGCAGCCTTGAACACCTAACACAAGTTATTCAGGCCTAGCCAACAGACAGAGGGAAAATCCCATGAGTCAGGAGTAGCCCTCATGGAGCCCTGCTCTGCACAGTGCAGGATGATGGTCTCCTATCCTCCTTTTTTGCAGGTGTTACTATGAAGTATCCCGGCAAGAAGCCATTGAATTATTAGAGAAGAATCCTTCTTTGGGGAATTTGATCCTGAGGCCTGGTAGTGACAGCAAGAATTACTCAATCTCCATCAGATATTTAACAGAGTAAGTTCACTCTACAAAAGATTACATAGTTCTGAGCTGGCACGTGCTGCATGATACAGCTTCATTTGGAATTCCTGGGGAATCGCAAGTTGAGCTCATCCCTGCCTGGCAGACTAACTTGGGAGTAACAGGTTTAGCAACTAATATGGGTTTGACTTGATTGTCTTTTAGGAGGAGGAGGAGAGAATCAATGGGATGAAAGGATGAAAGAAGAGTCAAACAGCTGAGCTGATGGGGCAAAGTACTTTTGGCTTGTCCCTAACTTGTCCTACACTATTTTCATGGCAACTTGAGACATTTTAAGCTATAGGCAATTACCTTAACATAGAACACAATATTGGTCCATATGTAAAAATTAAAATAAATTAGAGAAGATAGAGAGCTAGAAGAGATCAAGGCTGCAGTTAAAAAAAAACAACCCAAATTGACACCTGCCCTTTCCCTTCCTCCCCCCGCCAAATATTGCTACTTTTCAATAAGTTTCAAAACAGGAAGCAACAAAAACCCACAGCGTAAAGTCTTGGGCCTTCAGGTGTCATGCTGGGCTGTGGGCAGCCAGGTCTGAAGTGTGCAGAGTCTCAGTGTAGGAAAGCCAGGAATCCATAAGCCAGGAGATCAGTCCATGAAACCAAGCCAGAGGTCTGGGCAGAATGTGGGGTCAGAAGGCTTCAGGTCAGATATGCAGGAGATCAAACAAGAGTCAGGTCAGAGAGCCAAAGGGTCAGGCCAGACTCAGGGTCTCTGGGCAAGCCAGGTCAGGAATCAGAGAACCCGTCCGAGAGCCAGTAGTACCACAAGACAAGGGTGCAGAAGCCTAGGTACAAGGTTGAGCCTTGTTGCCCAAACACTTCCTATTCCAGGCCAGGGGCTTATATTAGAAGGGGTGAAGGATCAGCTGACCCTGGCTGACAATTGGTGGCAGAAAATGGGCATGTGCTTAGGCCCAGATGGAGGGTTATGGCCGCCTGTGTCTGCCCCAATGTGCTACTGAGGAGGTGACAGACTAGGATGAGCAGCCATGCATGAAGTCCATGAATCCAAGAAGAGCCATGGGGAGGGCACTGGCTAGTGCTTGGAAAAGTCCCTGACAGAGCTGGGAGTGGATAAAAGTTATCTGTGACCCCTTCTTTGGTCTGGTTCAAAACAGCCTTGGGCCTCCCTACCAGTGATAATTAGTAGTAAAGTAGGACTTTGGGTCCAGTGTCTAATGGCTCTCTTTGTAGGATATAGTATTTTGGCCAATAGTATTCTGGAGCACTTTGTAGGATATAGTATTTTGGCCAATAGTCAAAGGAAAAGACTCCGATAGGCACCATTCTCCATGGGCCCTGTTGCTCTTTGTAGAGTTTTCTTTTTCCACCTGCACCAAGAAGCCCATGAGCACTCCTTCATGTCCATCTCAGGTATCACTGGCCTACCAACCTTCCACTCTGTGCTTCCAGCAGGGTCTGCACTCGTGTGGCTCAACCTCTGACCCATGGGCCAAATGGAACCCACAAAGCTGTATCAGCCAGCCCATGGGGCTTCCTGTGGGTCCAGAAATTTGGCAATAGAAAAGCAGTGGCAGTGTTGCCACTTCCCTGCTTCCAAATTTCTGGACAATAGGGAGCTCTGAAGGCCAGATTACATGGCCCTGCACTCTAGATCATGCCAGGGTGAGGTTAGGCTGGCACATGGGGTTGGGCCAGCACATGGCTGCATTCAACACACAGTGTCAGGCTGGCACACAACTGCATCCTGTGCACAGGTGAGGGTGGTGTATGGCTGGATCTGGTGTGTGGAGTTGACCTGCTGTGCGTGGGGCCAAGCTAATGCATGCTGCCACACCCATGGACTGTTCCCATGCACCATCCCTGTGTGGGATCTGGCTCACAGACTGACCCTGTGCCACTCCCTGTGGGCCAGAAATTTGGACACTATTGCACTAGAGAATGGCACTATTCCTAAGTGAATCAGGAACCCACTCAAGCAGACATTTTAGGCCATCACTAGCTGGCCATAGCAAGACATGTTCTGAATTAGTGGTGAATTGTTGGAACACCCGGTCGATTCTACAAATGGTTTGAGTTGCACTGCCATCTGACTGCCTAATCCCAAGACCCTGATTAATTGTTGATTCTGGAAACTTGTGGAAGAACAATGCTGTTCAATTCTGAGAGGGCTGCCTGACCTATTTTAGTATCACTCACGCTAGTACTAAAACAATTCAAAATGACCCAATGGTTAACCATGCTAAAAGCCCCCCTAGACCTATGTAAATCATTTGAATCACTTCTGGTTTTGGGTGCTAATGAACCAGCTGAAGAGATCCCAAGATTCTTAACAGGGTTAGATCCTCCAACAAAGACAAGGCTTTGGCGCTGTGCTTCAACTTTGTGTCCAAGCAGCCCTGTGATTCCTGCTTACTGCCCTGTTTGCAGCTTTCTAATGTGTTCATCACTTGATCAAGCAAATAGATGCTTGCACTTGACAAGGCAAGGCTAAGCCTGCATCTGTCAAGGCATTAGCTACAAAGCGTGATTGCTGAACTGTGACACTGTATTTGTTAATGGGTGGTGTAACGTTTCAGATCTTGGTCTGCAAGTGACATTTTGCCAGTTCAAATAGAAACAATCACATTCCCATAACACAAAACTACATAGTTTTTATTCATTATGAAATATCAAAGCAAGAAGTAGGTTTGTTGGACCAAGGCCCAAGACCTAAGTTATTCTCAATCCTTGCTACTCAGAGCTCCCACTAAAATCAAGAGGACCATAATAATAACAACAACAACAATAACAACCATTATTATTATTATTATTATTATTATTATTATTATTATTATTAAGTGACTTATAGGAGGGAACTGAAGGGGAATTTCTTTCTAATGCCTGAAATCTCAAAGATTCTGAGTTAGTCAAGAGTACTTTCAATCAATAGCCTCTCATCAATAGCATCCACCGACAATTGAGAAAGACAGAAGATGGCATTCTTGATATTCCTAAAAGTAGGACACATGCATGAAAACCCTACTTTTTGAACACTTTTCCAGCCTTTGCTGTAATAGCAATAAAATTACAAGAAAACCTTTTTAGCCATTTCCTCTTCACGTGTAGAGGAAGCTAGTCTTTAAAAAGTCTGAAAACTCCTATTGTACTGTCGAAACTCAGCAGCAAATGAATGTCTTCACTAGATTTCAGGTTAGCCTCCTCATTGAGGGATCTGCAGCTAGTCACAACTTATTTCAGTGACTGCATATTAATAATGGACTCTCTTCTTGTTTCAGGGTTCCATGCATCAAGCACTACAAAGTGGTGAAGCTGGAAACAGGTTACAAAATTCAACTGGAAAGACCGGTTAGTGGGTATTTTTTGTTGGTGATTTTAAAGCAACTGGGACCATCCCACATTTCAGTTCATTCTCTAAAAAAGAAGAAAAAAGAGGTGGGAATTTGTCTAAGAAGGGACATCAACATCTCTGACAACCCTGAAAACTGAACTTTCTGGCCTTCCCTGCACCTCTACTTAAATTGCAACAGTTTCATTTAGAGCTTAAAAACATAAGAACTGCCACTTATGGGTCAGACCATAGGTTCATCATGCCCAGTTACCTGTGGTCACATAGGCACCAACACTTCCCCTGGCTCCCGCTAGCGGGCAGGAGCTGCACGCTGAGCTCCCTCCTCCATGGAGCCCGCTGCTCTGTCCCCCTCCTCCCGGAGAGGGCTCCTGCTGCCCTTGTTCTCAAGTTGCCATATGCAACCCAAAGGGACCCCACAGCACCAGTGGGGCCTCTCCACTGCTACCACCCATGCCAGCTGCCTGGTCAGCCACAGCACATGCCAACCCCAGCCCCCACCATTACAACACACCCCACCCCATAGTGCAGCCAAAGGAGTTGCCTGCCCGAGCCTTCCTGATCCCCTCAGTCTCCCTGCCGAGAGGAGGGGGAGCCCACAGTTCCCCCTCCCACACCATCCCATCCCACCTTCCCCATGGCACGGCAGGAGTCCCCTTGAGGGGCAGGGGGTGACGCAACCCCAGCAGGCTCCAACATAGGGATGGCAATGAACCAGGGGAGAGCCAGCAAGTTAAGGGGGCTCCCCCTGGCTTAGCCCCACCTAGATGGGGTCACAGGCCCTCACAAAGGGACCCAGGCCAAGGGCAAGGTCTTAGGAACCTCTTCCACACCTGGAGCTGAAAAGGGCAAAGGTCTGTCCACCAAGGCCAAATCACCAGCACTGAGGGGACCAGGTGCTCTGCATTAGGGAGCATTATACTTGCTCAGTCCATCCTTTGTCCTGTCAACATGGCTTCCAAGCCAGGGAGCCAGAGCTATGCCCAGGCTGCTTTACGGAAACCCACAGCTCCTGAGCCTGGGCTCTGCACCACTGCTGACACTTCCATCTCAGGCTTCGCTGCCCTCAACTGCAAGCATAGGGTGAGGTGTTGGCTGCCTGAGAAAGAAGACTCACACTAGCTTGGGTAGTGGTGGCCCCCAAGATTGTGGCAGCCTCTAGATTCCACAGCAAGTGAGTTTTCTTCCTTGCCACTGAAGCTGCCATGCAGGAGGCAGTGGAGAAGGGACCTGCTGTAAGGAGTAAGCTCCTTGAGCCTCTGGAAGAGCTGGGGACTAGAGTAGTCCTACACGCTGTCTCCCTATACCTTCCCGTCTTGGCCCTCCTGCCCCAGCTCCAGACCCTGGGGACAAATTGGAGAGAGTACAGCGGAGAGCGACAAAAATGATGAGTGGGAGACATGAGGAAAGACTGAGGCAAGTGGGTTTATTTAATCTAGATAATCTGAGACAGAGGGGATTTAATAGCAGCCTTCAACTACCTGAAAAGTGGTTCCAAAGAGGATGGAGCTAGACTGTTCTCAGTGGTGGCAGATGACAGAGCAAGAAGCAATGGTTTCAAGTTCCAGCAAGGGAAGTTTAAGTTAGATATTAGAAAAACCTTTCTCCCTAGGAGGGTAGTAAAACACTGGAACAGATTATCCAGAGAGGGTGTGGACTCTCCATCCTTGGAGGTTTTTAAGACCCAGCTAAATAAAGCCTTGGCTCATGATCTAGTTGGGGATGGTCCTGCTTTGAGCAGGGGGTTGGACTAGATGTGACCTCCTAAGTTCTCTTCTAACCCTAACTTTCTAGGATTCATCTCCTTGGTTACTCCCCTCCCACTGGTGTGCGGGGCCTCTTCCATGTGTGCTCCTTCTGCAAACAAATAATGATCCAGCTGGCAGCCAGGGCCAGGGCAGAGACCAAGGGGGCCCTTTGGGTCCCCATCCAAGGGTCCCTACCTAATCAGGATATGCCATACAGTAGGGGACCTGAGGTGCTTCTGGTGCTGTGCACCAGGGCACCTGCACCAGGAATACGCCAACAATAGGGGGCAATGCAGGCCCCCACTAAAGAGATGGGCACCCCCACCAATGGTACCCTTGGTACTCCAGCTGCTGCACCCAGGCCCTCTGTGAGCTGAGGGGACCTCAGTTCCCAAGAAGGGGGCCAACCAGAAAACCATCCCTGTCACCCCTTGAGCTGTGCCACACACCCCACCCCCGGGGAAAAAAAATAGTCTACTCCATGGAGAGAGATCCGGGACAGCCAGGCCATCCCAGAGAGGAGTCCACAGAGGAGACCCCTCACCATTCTACTGACTTCGACCTGCCCCCCAACACTGCAAGTGCTGAAGCACAGGCCTCAGCCACCCCTGGGGTGGGTCTGGCAGCAGAGCCATCCCCATCTGACCATCTGGGGGAGAATGGAGCCCTGGGGCTCACTCTGGTGAGCTCTGATGGGAAAGAGCCCCTTCTCCAGGGCTCTAAGGAGGGCACCAGTGCCACTACAATGCCTCCCAAAGCCTACCAAAAACAATCTCAGACTCACCCTGTGGTCCTGACATAGAGGAGGTTGAAGCAGCATCCCCCAACACCCTGAACAGCCATGAGAGGGACCCTGCACAGACCCTGCATTCCGCCTTGCCATGCCCTGAGCCACCCCTGCCCCTGCCCAAGGGGCTACAGTGCTTCCTTTGCTGGTGTCGGGGAAGTAGCAGACCAGGTAGTTCAGAAAGTGCTCCACCAGGCCTATGACATCAAACCCAGTGGGCCTAGCCACGTTAGTCATCTGTCTCACCAGAAAGGAGGCTCTGGCTAGGAGGATTCCCAAGGACTGCAGAGCCGCTTTCCTGTCCCTCATCCACTCACATCTCTGGACAGAGTTTTACTGGGCAGTATCCACCGCCTCCTTGGACTCATTTGAGGGCCAGTGGGCATTGTCCAATGTACTCTGCTTGGTGCTCCCATGCAGGGCACTTGTTTTGAACCATTGAGTTCCACTCCTACCTTTGTTATGTTTTTAGTTGCCCCAAGGAATCAGTTGCCACTTTCCCAGTAGCTTCCCTTCCTGAGGGGAGGTTCTAGTTTCACTTGGTGGGCTTTTGGCCCAATGGCCCCATAAAGTGGCAATTAGGCCTGGGTCACACAGTGGCAGAAAGTGGGTGCAGAAAGCAATAATGGAACTAGACTGTTCTCAGTGGTTGCAGATGACAGAGCTCTACTACAACTATCTTAAGTTGCAGCAAGGGAAGTTTAGGTTAGATATTAGGAAAAACTTTTTCCCTAGGAGGGTAGTAAAACACTGGAACAGATTATCCAGAGAGTTGTGGATTCTGTATCTTTGCAGGTTTTTAAGACCTGGGCAGACAAAGTTTGGCTGGGATGATCTAGTTAGGGATGGTCTGCTTTGAGCAAGGGGTTGGACTAGCTGACCTCCTGAGATCCCTTCCAACCCTCATTTTCTATGATTCTGTGAATGAAAAGGCTATGACCAGGGTTTTCACCGTGTTTGTCTCCCACTTGCAGCCTTCAGTATTTAAGGTCCAGGAAGTTCTGATTCAGAAGCTGTACTCCTAACTCATGTTCAATAGCTACTGATGCTCCTTTTCTCCAAGAATTTGCGCAATCCCTTTTTGAAACTACCCAAGTGTGAATTAAAACCAGTTCAGTTAACTCAGGGCAAAAAATGTATGGGCATTGATTTTATCTGGTTTCAGTTAAGTCAATTTGGAATAAGCATAAACTAAATGGAAATAAACCCAGTGAAAACTGAAGGGGATGTGTCCATGTAGCCCTTGGTACCAATCTAACAATATCTGTTAAAATCAATACCTTAAATTAAATCAATCTAACTTTATGTCCATCACAGACTTCTCTTCTTTCTAGTTCTGAAATGTCTGTTTCTTCATTACTCCTTAGAAACTTTAACTAGCAAACAAAATGAGGCTGGGTATACTGCCAACATTCTAATGGTATTACAAGATAATGTTTAGATGCTGCTATTAGATTTGCAGGATATAGGTAACAAACCACTCAAGAAATTACTTCTGGCTTTCAACAACAATTGCAGGTTGCTTAGTTGTCTGGATAGGCTCTCTTCATCTTTCCTTGCTCAGAGCAGAAAATCACCACTCCTGTTAGCCCTGCCTGTATGCTCAAGGTGCTATCCTGTAAAGCATCTGATGAAGGAGGAAACCAAACCAAACAAAAAGCCCTGCCCAATTGGAGAGCTCCTCCAAACCAACCCCAGCCAGCAGGGACCTCACTCTTCTGAAGGCACAGCAATCCAAGATAATAATGCCCTTACCTTAGGGCCTTGAATCCAAGTAATCAAAACTGTAGAGACTCTAGGACCCACATTAGGCAGAGCTCTATTACTAGCCATACCCAAAAGAACTTCCAAACGTTCCCCCTCCAGCTTCTTTTCTCTTTATATAGATCCCCAGCCTAAGGCAGGGCAAGAAGCTCCTTTATTACACCTAGGCTGTTTGGTCCTGAGTTCCAGAGAAACCTTAAAAGGGTACTCCACCTTGTTACCCACCTCCTCCAAATTCATTCTCTTATGAAATCCAAGCTACATTTTCCTGAGGTGTCCAACATGGAGTATTGCCAGATTAACTGGAACAGGATGTGGGAACTGTTGATCTTGGATAGATACTTAGAACAGAAAGGAGAGGGGAAGGTTATATGAAAGACAGTTAAACTAAACAGTACTAGTTTGATATGTCCCTTTGACAAGTGGCCTGAAACAGGGCCCAGATTTTAGGTTCACAATTTTGTTTTAAAAGCTACACCCCAAGCATAAATAGCAAACCTATAGAGGTTTCCAGGCAGGTAACAATGGAGGTAACTGAAATATAACAGGGTCCCCAGGGTGGCCCAGCTGTGCAGAGTCATCAAAAGGGGAAAGGGGTTGTGTTCAATTAGGGCATGGTGAAGACAGTCCTGGAAGCAAAACCCTGTCATCAGCAGAAGACACCATTCAAACTACTGCCTATCAGGCCACAGCCTTGAATCTGGGGTCTCTACTTACCTAGCATAGCCACTCATCCCAGTCTGCCACCTTCTTAGCTGAGAACCAGGGTAGAAAACCAAGGTAGGCGTAGGTAGTCAGAACCCACTATCTAAGCCTAGCTACCCACCCATTTCTTGCAACCAGAGTGTCCAGCCTGGGTCAGCTGACCCTTTACCCCTTCCTATAAAAACTCATGACCAAGAAGAGGAAGTGTCTGGGCAAGAAGGCTCAATTTTGTACCCATGCTGCCTTGCCCACAACTTGTGCCTCTACTGGCTCTTCGATAGATTCTCTAGCTAGCTGACCTGGCTTGCCCACAAACCCTGAGTTTCGCCTGATCCTTTAGCTCCCTAACCCAACTCTGGTTTGAACCGATTACCAGACCAAGCTACCCTCCCGACTCTGTGCGCTGCTCAACCCTCTGGATCTGTGACTCAGGTTCTCAGATTTAGCTTCTGGCTTCCTGACCCCCTATACTTAGACTCTGCACTCTCCCTGATGTTGGTTGCTTCTTTTGATCCTGGGTGACCCCCAAATGTGGCTGCCCAGGACCCACCATAACACTGCCTCTGTTAGTCATCCACTGCAGTGGGGAGGAGAGCTGCCCAGTTATATCTGTTTTATTTTTTTAAAAATGGAGGGAGAGGAAGGGATGCAGCTGCTGCTAGATCAGTGGCATGGTTAGAAGCGGTGAGTCAAGATTTAATAATAGAATTGAAGCAGGCCAGGAGAAAAAACAGGAATCCTGAAGACCCAGTGAACAGGAAAAAAATGAAAACGTAAAAATAAAAAAAAAAATTAAAAAAAAAAGCTACTACTTTGTACCAGAATAAGAAGCGATGTGGCCAGAGATCTTCAACTTTCACTCCTTACTATACCTTACAAGGACAGTTGAAAACAGGAAAAAACTACCAGAAATGGTTAACATTAAATTAAAAAGTATGACCCAAAAGTTATTTTCAAAACAAACCGCCATGTATATAAAATGTGAGAAGCAAGGATTGATGGGGTGGAGGTGATCTCTCTTATTGGATCAACTTCATGGTTGGAATAAAGTTATACAAGCTTTCAAATGCCATGCATTCTTTATCAGGTCTGACCAGGTGAAGAATTCATGGCATTTGAAAGCTTGGCTGGCTTTGTTCCAACCATGCGGTTAGTCCAATAAAAATCTCACCCCAAAAGTATCTTTGCCACTTACATAATCCTGGACAATCATGGCTGTAACATCACTCTAGTACTGTGCATATAAAATCTAAGACCTCTGAAGCACTTCAGTTCCCCTGTAAAAGAATTGCCAGCCTTGATATCAACTTTACTCTTTTTTTTATCTGTGTTACTGTAAAGTCCATCTTAAGAACTTGTCAGCTAAGTTCCCCACCATTTTGCTACAAGGGAAAGGCTAGATCCCGAAGTGGCCATTCAAACGAGGTTTCTACTATAGGGCAAGGGTTGGCAACCTACAACCCATGTAGCCATTCAACAGGCCGCCAGATGTAGGGTTCTGGCAGCATTCGGTGGTGAGGGGCTTTGGCTGCAGCCACTCTCCCTTTGTGATCACAGGAAGAAATGCCACCTGCAGACAGATCCCAGCACTCGCTCATCTGCCCGTGACCTGAGGTGGGTCATTCCAGCCCACAGGCAGAAAAGGTTGCCTGCTGTAGGGTGTTAGGCCTTTCAACCTCAGGTAGTTTGAAAGAATGGGGGGTGAAGGGTGTCAGTTGACTCATTTGGAGGGAATTCGTATGCAGCACTGCCCTAGTTTTTTGGCTGTCAGGATTAGTTTAAGTCATGGATGTCAAACTCACCCCAGGCTGGATCTGAACTCCTGGGGCCCCTCCTGGGCTGGCTGTATGGAAGCTGTACTGAGTCCAGGGATCTGTGGTCAATGGTGCCCGTTTGCATCCAGGCAACAGCATGAATAGGCAGCAGTAGTAATCTGAGGCCAACAGCAGGGGCTGGGCAACAGGGCAAATGAGGGCTGTACACAGCCCTTGCTCCCCCACTCCCTTCCCCCACTGCTGAGAGCCATGCGCACTGGGTCCAGGGACCCCAAATCCTGTGGCAGGCCACACCCCACTAGGCCTGTGGTCAACTTCCACTAGCCCCTCAGACTACTGGGAAGCTGAATGAACCAGTTCTTCAGGCCAGATCCAACCGTGGGCCCCTATATTTGCCCCCTTACATTAAATGGATCTCCACAGTTGCCACGGCTAAAAATCCACCCGTGGTCCTATGGATGTCACCATTATAGAATCAATCATAGAACGATAGAAAAGTAGAACTGGGAGGGACCTCAGAAGGTAATCTAATCCAACTGCCTGCTTGTCTAACCCATTTCTAAAACTACACAATCAACCTGTCACACAACTGCATAGCACATTGTCCAAGAACACCAAGATTTTCACAGGTAAAGCAGGGGCCCAAGGCTGTCAGTGTTCCACCATTGCAAGGATGGTTGAAATACGCTTGAGAGATCCAAGGGGCCATTCCTCTCTGCTACATAGGAAGGCAAACACCCCCGCAGTCCACACCAATCTGACGGTGGGGTAAAATTCCTTTTGGATCCCAGATGTGGCACTTGGTTTAACCCTGAGCAGAAGCAGCTCATGGGAAAGCAGGAAGTCCCAGGAGGTTAGTCATCCCACCCCAACCTACAGAACACAGCTCTTCAATAGCCTAACCTCATAAAATTGGACCCTCTACTTTTCCTTCCTCTTCCCAGTACCATACCAGATTTGAGCATTGACTCATACTTCCTCTTCTCAGTATTAACTGGGAGCAGGCTGGTGAAAGGTTTGTTCCTCACAGGAGAGGTGTTACTGATGTATAGCTGTCCCTCTCATTCACTGTACCAGGTAGCCTGTGTTGAAACACACTGTGATGCTCTGTACACACAACCTCTAAGGCCACAGCAGCATAACCACATTCACACCATGCTGCAGGCCAGCTTAGAGAGGTTCAGCCATTTTGCTTCTTCTGTTATAACCTTCCTAGAAAAGCTGCATGTTGTGGGTAAACCTTGCTAGACTGTGGGGGAGCAGAGGGCCCCAAGAAAGACTGCTTTACTGGCATTGCAGTTACAAGCCTTAATTAATTTGCGAGGGTGCTGAAGAACACCACAGGCCTGTTTCCGGCTGAGCTACAAGCAGTCTTACTTTGCATAGGCAGAGAGTGAGCAGTTGTAGAAAGGCAGTAGGGATTTGGGAAGCAATCCCACCTTGCTAGCTTGTTCAGAGATGCAGAACTGAGCTGCAGCACAGGGTGGAGGTCTCCACTCTCCCTGGGCACTGTGGGAGCCTCTGCCTACAGCATGCCACCCCTACCACTCGGAAAGACCACAAAGTGCTTCTTCAGGTATTTGGGTGCTCCTGATTGTTCTCATTTTCATTTCTTTGATGGGAGGTGCTGCAGCCTGCTGCATTTGGGGTAGATGCAGTTCTAGGAACTTGGCAACATCTTGAGGTACCTACCTGCAGCCCTCTTTCAGAAAACTTAGCTTGCCATAATCTCTGTCATGCCTTTTTAATTACCTAGGTGATGTTCCAGAACCTGCATGATGTCATTAATTACTTTGTCAAGGAAACACGATGGAACCTGAAGCCATTGGTCATGCACACCTATGACAACAAATTGGGTAGGTCATTCATTGCTGAGCATAAGGACTGCTTCTGCTGGAACCATCTTACTGAGAGGTGGTCAGACAGGGGCCAGCAACTGCGTTACAGAACAGCATTCAGTTTTATCAGCACAGTACATTTGTGGTAAGGGGCTGTCCAGAGGCTCTGGCTTTTTGACCACCCATTACATTTCTAGTACCAATGACCATTCCTAATTATAAACTACTGCTTCTTTTGGAGCAGTCTTATGGTGGCTGAGCAGCTAGTTTCAAGGAGAAAAATTCTATGCATCGGAAGTCTTTTACAATAATAAATTGCGTATATGCAAGGGTAGCAAAGAAAAGTCTGATGAGAGAAAACCATGATCAAAGCAGTATGTTGCAGTAGACAGAGAAGAGGCCTCCTGAGCAAAATTCTCTCCCAGCCTCTAACACTAAAGGTGTGTCGCATGTGTTTAAAAATAATATGTGAAGTTGAATGTGGCCATACTTAAGTGACCATTGATTTTCTGCACACATACTTCATCTTTGCCCAGCCATGTCAGCACTGCAGCTGCAAAACCCACTAGAGAGTTAGTGCTGGGCATTTAAGATATTTGTCTTCCATGGAGCTGTGTGATTTTAAATACCACATTAAGCAACACCCACACCCAGCAAGATTTGTTTTTGCTCACCCCACTTAAATCTTGTATCTGATGAGTTGACCCAAATGAAAGAAAAGTGGGACTAGGCTGTTCCAAAGAAAGCGAGTTTGAGGCAAAGGGAGAATACAAAATCTTGTCTCTTTTTTCCATCCCCCCTCCCCCCCTACAGAAGCACTAGCTTCAAAGTACACTCCATCAGCGATGTACCAGGCTATTGTCTGTAAGGAAAAAGAGAAGCTGGATATAAGCCCTGATCCTGTGAAATTCACAGAACCATTTTGAAGCATCTTGGATTTACTGCAGGAATATCCATATCTGGAAATGGTGAGGAAACAACGCCTTCTTTTAGCATGAAAGTTTTATTTGAGGACCAGCAGCAGTAAGACTTTTGGTAAAGAAAGCATTACATAAGGGGGCAGTACAAATGTAGCATGACAGGAAACATCTCTCCCTATTGATCAGGTTGCACAATCTTCTCTCAAAAGCAACATTATGTTGTTCTCTGAAGAGGATCTCTCAGGATGGCTGGTAGAGGCAGCACAGCACCTTACAGATATGTTCTCATTGTCAAACATGCTTGTGAAGATTTTACTAGTTACTGATTTTGAGGCAAGGGTGCAGTTGCTATCGTTAAGAGAGGGAAGTGACTCTCAGGGTCAGGAAGGAAACACAATGGTCTGCCTCTAGCTTTCTTGTTTAGACCTAGGCATGTGACGGGACTAGCATGTCAGGTGGCCTATGTGATATCTGTCCATTTGTGGTGAGTGAGAAACTAGTCTGAATGTCACTGACTCTTTCCATCACGCTTCAAAGACACGAAGAACTGCATAGGCCTAGCAAGCTGAGCTGCTCTCTTGGATCAAAAATGGCACAGTTGAGGTAGCATACAGAAAATAAGGAGCATGCTTCTGCCGTCATGGTCAGGGCACTCGCATGGGAAAGGGAGACCTGGGCTCCAAAGATTATGTCTGCTTCTTATTTACTACCTTTAAATGTAACATGCACACAAAACCAGTGCTGGAAACAGTGATGAAAATGCAGGACTTCTCTTTCTCACCCAAATACTTGAACCAGCAGGCTACGGTCAGACTGCTCCTTGCTCATTTTCTGGCCTCACAAGTTTTGCATTCCTTTCTGCACAACTTTTGGAGGAAGTAGTTTGCTCCCACTCAGCCTTGCCTGTGGCTTGGTGAATAGGACCTTCTCCTCAGAGGTGAGGAACAAGTTTTTGAATCCCCACAGAGTGAGGAGAGATTTTCACCCATCTTTCTCACTTCCTAAGCATGTGGTCAAACCATTAAGTTGTTATAAGGCAACAGCAACTTCCCCTTCTGTTAGCCATATTTTCAAGAGAGCAGCTACAACTGCATTTGCTGAGGTACCCAATCCGGTATGATGTGTTAAGCATAGCTCTGAGCCTGACCATCATGTCAGGCACCTCAGGAGAGTTAGGCACTGCCCTGACTTATTTCTAAATCCCAATGGCAGGTGGGATGCAGGGAGGGCAGATCCAGTTAGGGAGGAGCACAGCTCAGGATGCTTCTAGACAAGTCTGGAAGAAGAACTGCGAGTGCTTAAGGAGCTATTAGACTGGGAAGGCAGCTCCAGGGTCATGGAATCACAATTTTTGACCAAGGCAATTAAAGTCCATGCAAATAATATCTTGGTTTGTTGTTTTTTTGAGCTTGCCCATAGCTTCTTTGTGCTACTACTTGCTGAGCTGGGAAACTTGGGGCATTGACAGACATGCGGGCCCCTGCTAACTCATGCTAGGCAGTTAGTGCTGCCCTGATCCAACAAGTGTTTGCCTGTTAGGAGCAACAAGGGAGCTGGGGGAGGGGAAATTGAGCCTACCTGCAGGAGCCCTGATCAAGCCACAAATTAACCCTAGGGAACACAAGTTCCCTAAGGTGCTCTAAAGTGGAGCACCTTCTTCTGATTTGATGAGGGTTAATTTGCCATGCAATCAGACACTTTAAAAGTGCTCTGCAGCTGCGCGCACATCATGGAATGACTGTAAAGCACTTTCAGGGGGCCGATTGCATGAAAAGTATAACTTCTGTCTGCATCCTTCGTTTCAGTCCTATTGTTCTCACCTAGTCTTCCAGAACACAACAGGGATTTAGGACACATCCATTATTTTAGTATATTTAAAGTAATAGGGAAGCAAAAGGAAACTGCAGGCACTAAACCCTACATGCACATTGCTTTAAAATAGATGCAAATATTCATAAGATTAGGTAGCAGCTATTTTAACGTGCAGTGATTTGAAACAGGTCTGAGTGATTTCTTCACGGGTCAAAGCAGGGTATTAAAGGACAGGACCTGCAGTGATCCAGACTTTCTCTGGCACACAGGATCACCAACACAATGATGGGAAGCTGTGGTTACAACAACACTGAAGCCAGTCTGGACAGCAGATGCTGGCTTTAATTGTAATATGATCCATTTTTTCAAAACAAACATGTCTCAAATAACCCCCTGCTTCTCTACTGTTTTTATAAACTCTATAGCAAATGAACATTCTATGGTCTAACCTAAGTGTAATTCTAATTAATATCTCTGCCCTCCAAACTTATCGTTGCAGCTTCAACCAGCTACAGTACTTCCTTCCTGTCCTGAATTAGGTCTGCACAGCAACATGACCACATAGAGTTGCATTCCTTTACAGGATCTGGGTGTCACTTAGCAGCAACCTTATCTACTGTATGATTTTGTCCTGGTAACTCATCATAGCTGCACCTCTGAAAACTTCTCATAGGACCAGAGCTGATATAGGCTGGATTCATACAAGCACAAGTAGCTGCACAAGTGGTTTATAGCAATGGCTATAACTGGGCAAATTCCCAAATAGACAAAGCCTGTTTGGGAAACAAACAAGTGCTCCCTGCGTAAGAGTCGCAATAGATGTTGAACCATCCTCAGACCCAATGCACATTGGCTCAAAGGTTTGCTCAGCCCTGTGTTATTGGGAGAAGGAACAGGATGGAATACTGAAGACTGTCACTCTGGTATGACAAGAGCTGCTACCACACTGCAGTTTTTTCCACTTTCATTCTCATAGTGATTAGCAAAGGGCAGCCTGCAAGTCAACATTGGTCCTCCATGCCACTGAGCTATCTCCTGCCATCCAGTCAAGTATCTGGGCCCTACTTTCCAAATCCCTTTATAGCGGGCCAGTCCCCTTAATCTCAGCATGGCAAAAACTAAACTCTTGAATGTTGTTCCCCAAAACTTTTAGTCCTCTCCCCAGCTCTTTCTACTGCTGCAAAGGGAGCCCTCTATCTAAAAATCAGGACAAAGGGGCTTATACAACAATAGTCCCTTTCTTTATATAGCAGAGGATATATGCAGGATGGAGCACTTCACAGATTCACAGAAGTTTAGGGCTAGAAAGGATCTTATGAAATCATCAGGTCCAGCCCTCCAAGGCCTCATACCAAGGCCTCTAATGTGTTACTTACATGCCAGGCTACACTTAAGCCTGCAATACAAGCATCACCTTTGACTCACCCTTCTCAGACTTGCACATACAGGTCATTTCTAATTTTCCAAGACTTTTCTTTTCACTTCTCTGAAAATCTCACCTTTCCTCACTGTCTACAAGCCCAGTTTCCATATACTCCCCTACAAGTCTCTTCCTTGGCTCTCCATTCACTCAAATACAACCTTCCTGTTTTTGCCTTGAGGTACTTCATAATTTAGGCCAACCCACCCTAACCCATCAAGTAATTCTGACAACATTCCCAGCTGTCAGTGCCCATTAATACACTTTTCCCTTAAATAAACCTTTGGTCTTTCTCCCCTTATCCTTGGGGAAAGCTCCCTGAAGAACTTGAACAGTCCCCTTCTCATAGCCTCATCATCCCTCTGCAAGTCTTACAGTGGCTACATGGTTTAAAACGTGGCCTCCTGACCATGGCCAAGCACTCAATGACTGTAACTAATTTCCCAATTCTTTCTCCACCCCTCCTCTCTACCCTAGTTAAGACACACATGCAGTTAACAAAGCTGCGTAACTCAAAGACACCATCAGAGGATGGATAAAGTTGTTCAGGACAGGGATTATTCTCCTATTCACGCAAGACCTAGCAAATCAGGGCCTCACTCCTAATTCAGGATGTTGGGCAATTACCATAATAGTTACATTTTGCTAAAATCGCTCCATAAAGCACTTATATTGCTTATGGCTGACGATAACATTATAAAAAAAAAAAAAAAGTTCTGGACTAGATTGGAAACAAAAAACTTTTACCTGTACCTCAGGCTCACTGAATTTTACGAAAATAATCTAGCAACTTCTCATACAGCACAAGGAACACAAACACAGTAGTGCTGAAAAAGTGATTCAAGTGATGTTCATCAGCCAGACTCTGAGAAATTCCAAGGAAATGAACAGCAAGAAGCATGCAAGTTTTAGAAATTACTTTAATCATCATCTGAGGTGACATAGGAAACAAGGTCATTTACAAACAAAGGTTTGCGAGTGCCTTTGAGAGTGGTGTATAGTAAAAGTGGGTAATTACAAACTAGTCTCAGAATTCTGCTAGTGGAACCAAAGGCAGCACTTAGGAGTTATGACACACTTCTTCCCACAAAGCAGCGTGAATATTTGAACTCCTCTTCCAGCTTTTCCCACTGCCATGAGTAGACAGGACCTGGAACCAGCCCAACACAGAAGTAATGGCAAAGTTATGGCAAAATAATATGGAAATAACCGTGGCTAGCTCAGTGAGGCCCTGACTCCTGACAACCAGGGTCGGTAGGTGCTACAATAAGGCTAGTAAGCTGAGTTTGTCCTGAGAAGCCATGCTTGGAGAAGTGAATGCTCTGCTAGGAGGCTCTTAAAACTGGAATGCTTTTTATATGATAACCTTCCCTTTTCTAGACCTAACGTGCAATTTTCTTCATTTTTCAGAACCTCTTGGTGAAAGACCAAAAGAAACAATAAGACTGAGTTCAGAGGCTGGAAAACACCACATGAGCCAGCTCTTTTAGAGCTGCAAAAGTAGGTCGGGAACAAAACATTATGTGGCACGCGCCTATTTGACAGAAGTCTTTATAGCCTCAGAAATGGCTGCAGGCTCCTGATTCCAGGATTACTGTGCACCAAAAATAAAAGCCTGGAAGCTGGTGAAAAACTGCAGCATCTGAAATAGAATGCCTTCACATTTGTACAGAGCAAAGTCCATCTCCAAGGGGTCCAGCCTCAAGCATGAGCAGCTTTCTCAAAAGCAGGATGGGAGGAGGAATCCCCTCTCAGCACCCCACCTCTTTAGAAC